GAATAATGTGATAATTTAAATTTCAATGTTTTGCTTGCAGGATTGGAATTACTATGAATTTCAATTCTAATGTTTGCAGTGGCGGAGCCACATTTAAGGTGCAGGGGCCTTCCCACCCAACCAATTTTTTTTTTTTTTAATTAGTATTGTAGTTTTTTTTTTTTTTTTTTTTTTTGGCCCCCTCACTAAATATTTGTTATTTTGCCCACTCCAAGCAAGCTTTTAGGGTAATTTAGTGGATTGCTAATTTGCTATATAGTTAGTTTTTTAATTTGCAAATGAAATACATTGCAATTGTGTTTATTATAATTTATAATAATAAATTGTCATTTTGCTACCAAAATCTTTAAATTTCTGCTACTTTAATCTTTGTCTTTTTTAATTTGCAAATGAAATACATTGCAATTGTGTTTATTATAATAATAAATTATCATTTTGCTACCAAAATCTTTAAATTTCTACTACTTTAATTTTTATCTTTTTTAATTTGCAAATGAAATACATTACAATTGTGTTTATTATAATAATAAATTGTCATTTTGGTATCAAAATCTTTAAATTTTTACTACTTTAAATTGATCTTTTCTTTAAAAGAAAGAATTCTGAAAATTCAACATCAGTAAATTCATTTACAAGTTTTGAGCCATTGAATTTTGGAAGACGTTTCAAATTTTATTAGATTTGTAATATAATGATGTATTTTGAAATATGTTAAATAAATATTTATATGTTTTATTATTCCCTCTCAAATTGTGATTGCCCCCCCCGCACCAACCAATCCTGGCTCCGCCCCTAAATGTTTGGTATACATGAAAATTGAAAGGGAATAAGTAGTATAAAATTCAAAATGCCCATACTTATTATTATTATTATTATTATTATTATAAATTAAATGACCAAATTTAAATTTTACTTTTGAAAATTTATGTAACACGTTGTAAATAACCCTAGAATTGCATAACTAAAGCAATAAAATAGATAACGGAGTTTTGAAAAAATATATTTGATTGAGGTTGGCTTACTGATTGGCGTTCTGTGTTGATAGTAGGAGAAAAAGACACTCTAATCGAAAGAAAGAGGTAAAAGATTAATTTTAGGTTTAAAAATGAGGGGTAATTTTGTCTCAAAGTTATTTTTTTTTTATTCCTAAAATCTATAAAATTGAAATACCATGGGAGGGCATGTGATTCAAATTTCATGAAAATGATAGAGAATTTCAATTTCGCAGAATTGCAATTTCCTTCAACCAAACAAAGGAATTTGCTTGCCTTAAAAATTATGTAAGAATTAGATGGGAATAGAATATAATTGTAATTCCTTCAAACCAAACGTCCCGTTAGGGTTTAAGTCTTGGCCGAAGCTTATTCACCACTATGCTTATAATTGAGAGTTTAAAACTGTTGATCGCACGGACTTAGCTCGTTGATTTAGTAGACAATATTTAAAAGATGGAAAAAGAGATCAAGGTTCGAACTTCGACATCGATTATTACATTCTTTTAAATGTTTTATCGGGACGGGGTTGAGGATTTATCCTCTTGGGAAAAGAGAGTTCAAAAGTGCAACTTTTTCTATAATTTATTGCAAATTAATTGAGTTTCATTTGATTGAGGTGCACACTGCAACATTGTTGCCAAACTTCTCTGTATTCATTTAAATATTGAGATTTATTCAAGAAATGAAAGATAGCTAAAGATTGTGATTGGATCCATTGGACCAAAGTTCCCTATATTCATCGAGATAATGAATGGGCTTCATTTCATCATATTTCTTATTATAGTAGCATTCATGGATCACTAGCCCAGTTCTTGAAATGGGCAAATTATTGTATGGACCATGGTCCACACAATGTTATGTGGACCATAACAAAAAGTACATTTTTAATGTACTAAATGTACATTATTTTTGTACAGAATGTACATTATATAATATAATGTACACTCAGAACAAAAATAATATATATCCCCTGTATACAATATACATTATCTTTGTACTGAATGTACATTATTTTTGTATTGAATATAAATTATTTTATAGTAGACAAAATATGGTCCACACAACTTGTATGGACCATGGTCCACATAATAATGATTGTTGAAATGTGTGGATGGACTTTAATTAGATTGTGTAGCAGACCAAATCCAGGGATCACTATCCCATATCTAAAGCAAATATTGTACCCATTTGTACCCCAATCCCGGATCGTTATGCTATGCATCCGTATGGATGCAAAAATAACGCCGTTTTATTAAAAACGTGCATTCCACTTAAAAAAAAAATCAATTTTGATTCCCCTCAACAGTATTATGTTGTTCATTTATTCTGAAATTTTAGTTCATAGATTCTGAAATTTTAGTTCATAGATTCTGGAATTTTAGTTCATTGATTATGAATATTTAGACGTGAATCGAAACTGATTTTTTTTTTTTTCATTCATGTTGGATATTTAGTTCATCCATTGTGGATATTTAGTTCATTCATTATGGATTTTTAGTTCATCGATTCTGGAATTTTAGTTCATCGATTCTGGAATTTTAGTTCATTGATTCTGGATATATAGTTCAAATTATGCACAATATAATGTTGTTGCTGAGAATCGAAACTGAATATTTTTTTTTTTAAGTGAGACGCGCGTTTTTAATTAAACCTAATTTGCCCCCAATCCCATGGTGAATTGCCTTAATTTTTTATTTTTGTAATTTTAAAATATTTATTCTCATTATATGATCATACACAATCAAACATCAATATTAGCAATAATTTCAATTTCACCCTACTACCAAATATGCAAAATATTTTCACCAATACTCATTACTATTACCAAGTATTTGAATTTAATCTCAATTTCGATTCCCATGCGTGAAACACACCCTTAATATATTACGGAAAAGTATATAAATGTCCAAAAACGGTGGGTGAATGTTGTAGTGTGTGCAAGTGTGAAACATGATTCTTCATTATTGTCAATATCTTCTCGATTGAACCCATCGTTAATCAAATATTTAAAAACTTAATAGCACGTTGAGGACCTTTTTATGATTTATATGATAATTTGTGTTGGATTGTTTGAGCGTTTTGATTGTTCTGTTTAGATTAATCTCTCTCTCAAGCAAGAGTCAAACGATGTAATTTGAACTGAATTTAAATTAATCTTATAATAGTGAGATATTGGATGTTGGTTGTTGAATGTAGGGGTGTAAATGAACCAAGCAGCTTGCGAGTCGCTTGGTTAAAGCTCGGCTCGAGCTCGAGCTCAAATATTTTAGGCTCGTGGCTGCTCGGTCAACTTCGAGCTCGAGCTCAAGCTGGCCCGTTTCATAATCGAGCCGAGATTGAGCTTCAATTTTCGAACTCGGCTCGACTTGTTTATACCCCTAGTTGAATGTGAGGAAAAAATTTTAAACTTTCAATAATAATCTTTAATGGCCTATTTGGTTCACGGAATAGGCCGGGAATGGCATAGCATTCCCAGTAATATGCCTATTCCGTTGTTTGGTAACCATTTCTATTACCAGGAATATTATTCCTGGTAATAGCCTATTACCTCAAATAAGGTAATAGCTATTACTAGGGCCCCCCCGGTATTAGCCTATTACTGAATGCTCAGGAATAGATTTTAGAATCTATTTCCCTTTTTACCACTTTCTTTAACCTAATTTTTTTTTATCCTATATATAAATTTATCCTATTTCACCACCGTTGCCACCACCATCACCGCCGCCGCCGCCACCACCACCACCATCGCCGCCACCACCACCATCACCGCCGCCGCCGCCACCGCCGCCACCGCCACCGCCGCCACCGCCACCACCACCACCATCACCGCCGCTGCCGCCGCCGCCACGACCACCATCACCGCCGCTGCCGCCGCCACCACCACCACCACCATCGCCACAACCGTCGTCGTCGCTGCCGCCACTGCCACCGCCACCACCACCACTACCACCACCGCCACCGCCACCACCACCACCAGAACCACCACCCAGCAGCACCACCGCCACCACCATCACCACCACCGCCACAACCGTCGCCGCCCCCACCACCACTGTCACAACCGTCACCGTCACCACCACCACCGTCGCCCCCACCACTGCCACCGCTACCACCACCTACCACCCCAGCACCACCACCACCACCGCCACCACCACCATCACCACCGCCACCATCAAATATTTTTATAAGGGTATTTATGTCTTTTAAAACATATTTCATTTCTATTCCTTAAATCAACCAAACATTGTAATATAATTCCTAAAGTCTATTCCTTCCGCGAACCAAACAATAGAATACAATTCTTATTCTATTCCTTGCCTATTCCATTCCTTATGGAATAGCATTCCTATTACCTCAAAATTCATTCCGTGAACCAAACGTGCTGTAAGAGTTTTAGTACTTTCAAATTTTATTCTCTCACTTTTACTCACAAATAAGAATTAAATAATTTTATTAGATGGTGTGAGAAAAAATATCTACATCAAGAATTTGTGAGATGAAATAAAAAGTAGGCCTAACTCCTAAGAAATGAAATAGATGTATTAATTTCCAATCTGTAACGGACTGGTGAAGTCGTCAACAATCAGTGTTGACTTGATGATTTGAAAGGACGACTTTTGTCATTGTCTCATGCAGGCCGTAAAGAAAGAAAACAAATACTCGTACATACTAAATTCATTGTCGCATAATTTTTTTTTTATTATTATAAATTCATTGGTCCCATAATTCACGTAAACGGTGAAGAAATTGTGTAATTTTGCTATAACTTTTGTGGAATTTAACGAAAAATTCCTGCAGTTTTACTGACGATCTGTTTCGAATTGAATTGACAACAGTGCGCATTTGTGGAAGGAGGACCGTTCTTTCTTTCTTTCCCTCTCGGTCTTCTGCGACGACTACGTCGTTTCTCTCACGGACAGTTGAATATTCATTGCTGTTCTGCTCCTTCTGTTCAAAGAGATTACCCCTTTCGTTCTCTCCCTCAGGTTTTTGAATTCCCAGTGAGCAAAAAGAAGCAAACTTTCCAAGGAAATCTCTCACTATTTCAGAATTTTGACATCTTTTTCTTCGGTTCTGTACTTCTGCTCTTCAGAATCATGGGTATACTAGCTCCTTTGAGGAGTTATCGGAGCTTATGAAGGGAAATCTGGGATTTAGCAGAGAAGGATGAACTGGGTTTCGGGTTTGGTTCTTCTTTTCTGCTTATTATCGCCGTTTCTTCAGCTGCCATTAGTCTCCGGCAACGCCGAAGGTGTGCTCTTTCAGTTTCCTTTTCATGATTTGTTTAAAGATTATGAATAATTATCACTGTTTTCTCTCAATTTTGAATGAACAAGGGAAAGGCAAACTAGATTGATTATTGTTGTGTATGCCTCATATGTATTAATGTATATGTAGGGTTGTTTATGAATATGATTCTTGTAATTACCATCACAATTAATAAAAGAATAGTTTTGCTCCCTTGCAATGATACCCGAACCACGAAAATCTTGTCTTTTTTACTTTCTGCAATTATTGTCTAAACAATTATACTTCGTTTAATTTGCTAGTTTATGTCTTACAGGCGACGCCTTGAATGCTTTGAAGACCAATTTGGATGATCCTAACAATGTTCTGCAGAGCTGGGATTCGACCCTTGTTAATCCCTGCACTTGGTTTCACGTTACATGTAGTCCAGACAACAGTGTTACTAGAGTGTAGGCTGCTCTTATCATCAATTTGGGTTTCACAGTTTCTGCTTTGGTGTGATTGCTAATACTCATTTTCGGTTATTGCTTGCTTCTAGTGATCTGGGAAATGCGAATTTGACGGGGCAACTGGTTCCACAGCTTGGTCTGCTTTCAAATTTGCAGTACTTGTGAGTTCTTCTTTTGTGTGTTAATATGGTTCGTTTCGTGATTGCTTCAACTTGATGAAGATTGATGCTGATGGTGTTAAACGGATTACTTAAACTTGGGCTGCAGATTTTCGTGCTAAATTGCTTCTACTGTGTTATGTTTGCAGGGAACTTTACAGCAATAATATAAGTGGAATAATTCCTAACGAACTCGGGAACTTAACAAACTTGGTCAGCTTGGATCTTTACATGAACCACTTGAGTGGTCCCATCCCCGACTCCTTGGGCAAGCTTCAGAAACTGCGTTTCCTGTATGAGTTTGCATCTTCCTGCCTTTTGCTTTGATTTTGTTAAATTTTTTACGACTCTAGTGACATATACCTGAATAGAAGATAATGTGAAGTGTTGAATTATGTGTACAATTTGGGTTATATTTTTAGTTTTCTACCGTAATCTTGGATACATGAAACTTTGTATCGTATGAAATATGCAAAAACATACTTTTCTTTCCAACTGTCACCTCTATGACCAGTTGAGCTGCCCATGCGGGCAAAACATACTTTTCTAGCGAAGTGGTTTGCGGTGCATAAAAAATTGAACTTGAAATCTTCTGATGTTGCCGTAGACTAGACTATGAGTGGTGATCGATGTTTTAACTACCTAAAGAGAAAGTGTGAACCGAGTAGTATGTAATTAGCTCAGTCCTGGCTCTGTGATTGTTTTGTGGATCCTAATACCTTTTTTCTTTCGGGAAATTTTGAAGGAGGCTCAACAACAACACTTTGAATGGAGGTATTCCCATGTCTTTAACGACAGTGTTTACACTTCAAGTCCTGTAAGTATAAAATGGGTTAACTTTTCACGCCTCCAAGTTTTACTTCTCTATGGGAACTAATAGTGATCATCGTTCAAATGCAGTGATCTCTCATCTAACCATTTGCAAGGACAAATCCCGGTGAATGGTTCCTTCTCACTTTTCACTCCTATCAGGTTTGTCTGGCGTATTCTTTCCCCTCTAAATTTCACTATTCTTTGTTTCATAATTCTTGATGGCTAAGCTAAGCTGCTAAATTTCAGTTTTCAAAGTAATCCAGGATTGCGAGCCCCTCCGGTTTCCCCGCCTCCTCCATTTTCTCCAACACCCTCTTCTTCTTCTGGTTTGTCGAAATCATTTCTCTTTTTTAGAACTGCTTTAAGTTTGGAATTTCGGTGGCCATTGTAACTCTCCCAAAGAGAAAGCATAAAATTTTACGAAAACTCGATTAATATTGCAGGAGGGAACAGTGAAACCGGGGCCATAGCGGGAGGAGTTGCTGCAGGTGCTGCTCTTCTGTTTGCAGGTCCTGCAATTTTGCTTGCTTGGTGGCGGCGAAGGAAACCGGAAGTCTACTTCTTTGATGTTCCCGGTTAGAACTTTAAATGCTATCAATGTAAAAAAAAAAAAAAGTTCATAATTCTAAGCGGTTATTTACTTATTTTGCAGCTGAAGAAGACCCCGAAGTTCATCTTGGACAGCTCAAGAAATTCTCCTTGCGCGAACTGCAAATCGCGACGGACAATTTCAGCAATAGCAATATCCTTGGAAGAGGTGGATTTGGTAAGGTTTACAAAGGGCGTTTGGCTGATGGCTCTTTAGTTGCAGTTAAGCGACTAAAAGAGGAACGCACTCAAGGCGGGGAGATGCAGTTCCAGACCGAGGTTGAAATGATCAGTATGGCGGTGCATAGAAACCTTCTCCGTTTACTTGGCTTTTGCATGACACCAACAGAGCGGTTGCTCGTTTACCCGTACATGGCAAATGGAAGCGTCGCATCACGCTTAAGAGGTACTTCTTCTCGTTCCCGAGTATACATGGAACACGCTAAGAATTTTTTCATTATCGGGATTCAGACAACGATATCCTCTAAATGAATCTAGGTACTCAAGAAAGACAGACGGGACATGTTGAGCATATAATATAATATAATATAAACATAAATGTACAATTCAACTATCAGCTTAGGCTTTTAGTTGAGATGGAGCACCTGTTTCAATTTGGTATCAGAGCCATAAATGTGCAATTCAACTATCAGCTTAGACTTGCTTCTAGTTGAGATGGAGCACATGTTTCAATTGGGCATAATGAAACTCTATTTTGCATAACATTTCTTCTTTCTTTTTATCGTTCACTAAATTTAGCTGAATTATGAACTATTTTTTTCTACTAAATTTAGTTCAAGTTCTTGCTAGAGAATAGAAGCCTTTTATAGTTTAGCTTAATATCGGGAAGTTGTGTTGTCCATGTCGTTGTAGAGCGACGAGACACGGATACACCACTCGATTGGGCGAAGAGGAAGTACATTTCTCTTGGAGCTGCAAGAGGGCTGGCGTATTTGCACGACCATTGCGACCCGAAGATTATTCATCGTGATGTGAAAGCTGCGAATATCTTGCTGGACGAGGAGTATGAGGCCGTGGTGGGCGACTTTGGGCTCGCGAAGCTCATGGATTACAAGGACACCCATGTAACCACCGCTGTTCGGGGTACAATCGGGCACATAGCTCCTGAATATCTCTCAACGGGTAAATCTTCAGAGAAAACGGATGTGTTTGGGTATGGAGTTATGCTTCTGGAGATCATAACCGGGCAACGGGCCTTTGATCTTGCCCGCCTTGCCAACGATGATGATGTCATGTTGCTCGACTGGGTAAGCAAGCGTTTTACCAGAAAACTTTTAGCTGAGACGGAACACATGTCTGCAGAACTAACTTTTTTCGAGAATTTCAGGTGAAAGGGCTGCTAAAGGACAAGAAATATGAGACATTAGTGGACATAGATCTTCAAGGAGACTTTGTTGAAGAGGAAGTGGAGCAGCTAATCCAGGTAGCTCTTCTTTGCACACAAAACTCTCCATTGGAGCGCCCAAAGATGTCTGAAGTTGTAAGGATGCTAGATGGCGACGGCCTGGCTGAGAAGTGGGAGGAGTGGCAGAAGGAAGAAACTTTCCGGGCAGATCTCCTCCACACCCACCACCACAATCCTAACACCGAATGGATCATCGCCGATTCCACTTCAAATATCCGGCCAGACGAGCTGTCTGGCCCGAGATGATGAACCTCCATCACCAAACATGCATTCATCATATTCAACCGAGTTTTTTCCACTTTTGGTCCCACACCCATAGAACAATCCCCGCATTTGGTACTATTAATGGACTCTAATTTCCGGTCATGATTACGTTTCAGGTGGTGACTTGTCTTAAAGGGCAAAATTGTCATTTTAATTATTTTTTCCTAAACTTTTCGAGGAGAATGACTGGAAATGACAATTTTGCTTTTCAAGATAAGTCAGTTTCTTGAAATTTGGTCACTGGTGACCAAAAATTAGGTCAGATGAACTAAATGTGAGACAAAATATGAAAAAAATTAATAGTCGGTGTCCAAATGTGAACCAGAAGTGGAAAAACTCTATTCAAGCCAAGAAATGTATGTTATGAGATTTTCAAATTTCTGCAGAATTCATTACACAGAGTGGCCTTACATGATCAACAGCCATTTGCGATTGTTATTGAAATGATTAAAACCCAGAATAACACAAACATTCTCGAATTTGTCACCGCACGATGCTTACAACCTTTCAGCTCATCATTACTGATAATCTGCAACAAAGATTTTCATAATCACAAGACTAAAAGTGAAAAAACTCAAAAAAAAATCATGTTTTTAATCTCTTTTTACCTGTAACTGAGAAGACACGATGACAGTAAGCGCACGAGGAAGAGGGTCGACGCCAAGCCATTCGCCATTGTTGAAGATCTGAAGACCGAAGAGTTGGTGGTGAAGTATGGTGATGAGGTTTGGGTCGTAATGGGGAGCTGTTCCCATGGTGGAACTTGGGTTAGGACAAACAGGATAATGGTTTACCATGATATTCAGATTCTCAGTGAGATTGTTTCTTTCGAAATATCCGGCCTCCATTCCCAGAGCTTCACCCATCAGATCCAATATCTTCAGTCCCAGCATCTTCATTTCTGTTGAATATGCAATCACCATTTCTCTGCAATTATGTCAGTTTTAATTTTCTTGAACCTGCTAAATATTAATGTTTAGAAAGTGGGAATTGAAATTTGGGTTTACCGGTATCCGGCCGGCTTTTCAAGCCAAGATTTTGACTGAATGGACTCATCATCCATGACGAAACCATCGACTATCTGATTGTCATATCTTACTTAAAACCAATTGATGATAAGTAAGTGGATATTAAACATTTAACTACACTTCTCCATGATAAACCACCACATCACGTCTCAAATCAAGCAGGGACTGAACTCGGTCAACTGGCCGACGCCCAACACTATACATTTACAACAGTGATCCAATTCAGTTTTCAGTCGCAATTATAAGAAGTAGTGGAACACATGTTTGTTGCATGTCAGGACATTTTGCTGCTCATCAATTTGTTATGCATGTTTGAGACCTGTACGAGAATGACGTGCATATGTTTTAGCCGTTCGAAATTTACCATACTTAATAATGCAACCCATCCATCTTCCTTAAAAAAATTCATTTAGCTCAACTAGTCATAGAGATGAAACTTTAGAAGAAAAAGAACTCATTTAGTTCAACTGGAATGGCATTGATTCTGGGCAAAATATATTTATAAATTGATTCACTAACTTAAGGCACGTTACCGCTCTTAGCTTGTTCTGGAGAAGGGTGGAGGGGGCATGTGTATGTGTTTTATTTTGTGAGTTTTTGTGTCTTGTGTTATGAAATTGTGTACCTTTAAAAATATAAATTTTGTATTTAAAACAAATTAATAGTTGTGTCTTATGTTATGATCGAAGACAAGTACCTCCTTGTTTTTGACTAAATTGATAATGAGTTGATCATATGAATCCGGTAAACTTTGGAGTAAGATTTCTGCACGTTCATTCACTTCTATTTTATAACTCAAAGCCGAGAGTTGTGAAAATAGTGTTTAGAGTGTTGATGTGCTCAGTTACTGAGGATGTCTCCATCATCCTGAGAGTGTACAGTTTCCTCTTCAAGAAAATTTTGTTGTGCAGTGATTTGGCCTCATACAAATTTACAAGAGTATACCATACCTCTTTTGCCGTACCTTTTTCCGCCACACTTGACAAAACTTCATCAGCAAGTGCTAAGTGCAGATTGGCAATAGCGTTGCTATCCATTTCTGTCCACTTCGCATCGTCAGTGAAATCGGCCGGTCTTTCTTCAATTGCTGCTACACAGTTATCTTTCCTGAGAATTGCTTTCATTCTAATTTTCCACAGAGAGAAATTGTTCCCTTTGAACTTTTCAATCTCGTACTTGGCCGCCATTGTAAGTGGTGTTCTTGATTCAAATCCTGAACAATATATCTAAATGGTATTGTATAATAGAATAATATCGGCCTTGAGAATTTACCAGTATTTATTCTAACATAAACAATACAAAAAGATATATCTATGAACCTAACCTGAGGCTCTGATACCACTTGTTAGGATCGAAACGGGTTCACAACACCAAATTTACAATAGCAACTTGGACTGGAAATATTGAGAATAAATTCTAGTGTAAGGTTTAAAATAAATCATACACAAAGCAAAACAAAGCAAATTGAAGAAGAATTTTTCTGTATTGACAAAAGGATAATACAATAGGAATTACAAATATAACTCTCTATTTTTCTCTACAAAATTTTGCTATACTCTCTGTATATTTCGTAAGAGATGGAATGGGATGAGATGAGATGATCTGATGAATGAATGATGTTGTCTTATTTATAGCAATCAGAAGTCTAGAGAATTCTAAGCTAGAACCCATGTGCATAGAGAATTCTTTCCCTGCAAATTTTCTCCAAAACACATGCCCAAACCTAGCCCCACGCTTTTAGGCAAACCTACTCCCAAGTCCCTTAGGAAATCTCCTCCCAAGTTCTTTAGGAAATCTCCTCCCAAATTCCTTTAGAAAATCTCCTCCCAAAATCCTTTAGGAAATTTCCTCTCAAAATCATCCCTGGCAAACTTCTGTCCATTCAACATTCAGACTTTAATATTTACATTTGACATCTTAAAATCTCACCTTATTCCATTCACATTGGACAATACTACAATTTAATCATGTGATGTTCCAAATTTCCTCAATAATGTTTCATAAAGGAGGAAAAGCCCAGAAAGAAAATTCAAAAAGCATGATTATTCTATGGTGATCACATATAATAATAATAATAATAATAATAATAATAATAATAATAATAATAATAATAATAATAATAATTGAGCTACTGCTCGAAATGAAAGGTGGATAGAATATAATTTTCATACTAACTAAAATATCACAAACTTAATTCTTGCTTGATCTATTGCTCCGGCTTCCTAGCTGGTGCTTACTATTTTATCCTTAACCTCTAATGGTGGAGTAGATGAAACCCACTATCTATATATTAATTCAGGAGTGGGGGGATACATATATAATTTGCCAACTTTATGTATGCATGCACTCAACAATTAGTATATACAAATTCTTAGTGAATTTCACAATCGAGCCAATCTTGAGCTTCAATTTTCGAACTCGAGCCTGCCTATTGTTTATCGAGCTCAAGTTTGAACTCGGATCGACTTATTTATACCCCTAGTTGAATGTGAGGAAAAAATTTTAAATTTTCAATGATAATTTTTAAAAGTTCTATTACATGTACCTCTCAAATTTTATTTTCGCACTTTACTCCATATGACAAACAAGGATTGGATAATTTTATTAGGTGAATCTCAAGAAAAATGTCTACGTCAAGAATTTGTGAGATGGAATAAAAGTTAGGTGTAAGAAATGAAATGAGTAAATACCCAAAATGGTCACTCGACTATAGCTAAATTCACAAATTGATCATCGACTTTCAATTTCAACCAATTAAGTCTTTAACTTTGCAATTTTAACACAATTTGGTCATTTGTCTATTTGACCGTTTGTTGACTGTGATTTTTGAGGATATATATGTAATTTCATGGTCCATCGTCGATTTTTTAAGGTCCCGGTTGCATTTCCAGACCGCATTGTTACATTTGAATCCACTGTCGAAAACAATCTACCAAATCCGGTCGCCTTTCTTCATCCTCCCTCTGAATTCAATGTAGTTGAATTCGTACCAGAGCGAAGAAGACGACGTGTTTCCGAACCGGTGCAACGTCATCCTAGAGGCCTCCACATGCTCCAATGAGATCTGTAGGTTACTCTGGAGATCATCGATGACGGCGCGGCCGCCGACGTTGATGCATGAGTGTTCGAAGGCATGTTTGAAGTTGGGAATGTAGGGTTTCCATATGGGATTGAAGATTTTCCGGCCGATTAGGGTGAAGAGGAAGAGGAGTTGCTCCAACACCAGGAGAACGATTACATATATATCTTCAAAGATCACGGTCAACAAACAGTCAAATAGATGGAGGACCAAATCGTGTCAAAATTGCAAAGTTAAGAACTTAATTGGTTGAAACTGAAAGTTGATGATCAATTTGTAAATTTAGTTATAATCGAGAGATTATTTTGGGTATTTACTCAAATGAAATAGATGTATTATTATTTTCCAATCTTTAACGGACTGGTGAAGTCGTCAACAATCAGTGTTGACTTGATGATTTGAAAGGACGACTTTTGTCATTGTCTCATGCAGGCCGTAAAAATCAGAAAACAAATACTCGTACATACTAAATTCATTGTCTCATATTTTATATTTATAATAAATTCATTGGTCCCATAATTCACGTAAACGGTGAAGAAATTGTGTAATTTTGCTATAACTTTTATGGAATTTAACGAAAAATTCTTGCAGTTTTAGTGACGATCTGTTTCGAATTGAATTGACAACAGTGCGCATTTGTGGAAGGAGGACCGTTCTTTCTTTCTTTCGCTCTCGGTCTTCTGCGACGACTACGTCGTTTCTCTCACGGATAGTTGAATATTCATTGCTGTTCTGCTCCTTCGTTTCTCTCCCTGAGCTTTCTGCCATTCTGAATTCCCAGTGAGCAAAAAGAAGCAAACTTTCCATGGAAATCTCTCACTATTTCAGAATTTTGACATCTTTTTCTTCGGTTCTGTACTTTTGCTCTTCAGAATCATGGTATACTAGCTCTTTTGAGGAGTTCTCGGAGCTGATGAAGGGAAATCTGGGATTTTAGCAGAGAAGAATTGGGGCGGGGAAGGATGAACTGGGTATCGGGTTCGGCTTTTCTTTTCTGCTTATTACCGCCGTTTCTTCAGCTGCCATTAGTCTCCGGCAACGCCGAAGGTTTGCTCTTTCAGTTTCCTTTTCATGATTTGTTTAAAGATTATGAATAATTATCACTGTTTTCTCTCAATCTTGAATGAACAAGGGAAAGGCAAACTAGATTGATTATTGTTGTGTATGCCTTTAATGTATATGTAGGGTTGTTTATAAATATGATGCTTGTAATTACTATCACAATTAATAAAAGAATAGCTTTGCTCCTGCAATGATAGTGTTATGGCCTTATCCGCACAACACACAGCAACAGTAAGAAAAGAAGAGAGATAGGGTTTAGAAGAAGAAGAAGAGATGAAGAAAAAGGAATATTTGATTAAACATTGCGTAAAAACCCCAGTCATCCGTTCTACCATATATAAGCCATGATCTACTACAGCTAATCCCATGAATTCCTAACCGAATCCACAGCTGGAATTGATAACTGAAAGAAAAGAAAAGGAATAATCTAAACAGAAATCAGTAATTGGCTTTGAGTCAAACGACGTCGCTTGAAATAATCCATAACCGTCTTGCTTTTGAAACGACGCCGTCGGATACCTTCAACCAACTTCAACTTCCTCCAGTCCAACGACGTCGTTTGGTGTCTGTTCTTGATTTCCAACCTTAGTCCCCTTCTTCCTAGCTTTCCTTCGTTTATTTCTCCCAGTAAGGGCTGTTACAGTACCCCCTTCTTCCCGAGATCCTTGACCCCAAGGATCAAACAAGGGATACTGCTTAATTACATGATAATAGTCCTCCCACGTGGCTTGTTCCTTTGGCAAGTTGGACCATTGAACCAAGATCTGTGTCACAGCTTGATTCTTTCGTTTTACCAACCTTTTGCCAATGGCTGCAATGGGTTCAGCCTGGACTTCTCCATCCTTGCCTATAGTTGGAGGCTCTATCTGTGGCACCACCCATTCACTCACCTTCCTCTTCAATTGTGAGATGTGAAAGACAGGATGCAATAAGGCCCTTGAGGAAGCTGAAGCCTATACGCAACTTTACCAACTTTTTCCAACACCTGGTAAGGCCCAAAGTACCTGGAGGACAACTTCAGATTAGCTCTCACTGCTAGAGACACTTGCCTGTAGGGTTGGAGCTTGAGGTACACCCAGTCTCCTACCTCTAAGCTTCTTTCACTCCTTCCCCTATCTGCCTGTTGCTTCATCCTATGCTGAGCCTGTCTCAGATTCTCTTTCAGTCCTGCTAAGATGCTATCTCTTTCTGTTAGCCAATTGTGCCCTTCAGCCCCAGAGGCAAGCCTAGCTGCCAGTGTAGGTGGAGAGTAGCCATACAAGGCCTGAAATGGGGTACATCTGAGGGCTGTGTGATAGTTTGTGTTGTACCAAAACTCTGCTAAATGGAGCCATTTAGCCCAAGACTTGGGCTTTTGGAAGACCATACACCTAAGGTAATTCTCCAGGCACTTGTTAACTCTTTCCGTTTGGCCATCAGTTTGGGGGTGGCAAGCTGTGGAAAGATTCAATTTGACCCCCATCTTCTTGAATAAGGACTGCCAAAATGCACTGGTAAAGACTTTGTCCCTATCTGAAACAATGTCTTTTGGGAGCCCATGTAACTTGTATATGCCTTCCATGAACACTTCAGCAATACTCTCAACAGAATATGTATGTGAAACAGCAATAAAATGGCTATATTTAGTCAATCTATCCACCACTACCAAGATTACTTCCTTGTTGCTGGATTTGGGTAACCCCTCTATGAAATCCATGGAGATACTAGCCCAAGCTTCCTTTGGAATGGCCAGAGGTTGCAAGAGACCAGGGGTTGCTATGTTTTCATGCTTACATCTTTGGCATACATCACAAACCTTCACCAACTCAATCACATCCCTCTTCATACCCTTCCAATAGAAGAACTGTTTCAGCCTTTGGTAGGTGCCTTGCTGACCAGAATTTCCCCCTAAAGCAGACTCATGCAACTGCAACATCAACCTCCTTCTCAAATCACCTGTTGAGCCCACATAAATCCTGTGTTTATACCTCAGAATGCCTCCAACTACAGTCACATCAGGCAAGGCAGTGGTGTCAATCAAACAGTTTGCCAAGGTTTCCACTGCCC